GGTGGCTCAGTTGGTTAAGCAACTGCCTTCAGCTCAGGTCATGATCCTGGAGTCCCAGGATCGAGTCCCACATCGGGCTCCCTGCTGAGCAGGGAGTCTGCTTCTCCCTCTGAACCTCTTCCCTTTCATGCTCTCTATCTCTCATTCTCTCTCTCTCAAATAAATAAATAAAATCTTTAAAAAAATGAAAAAAAATAAAATACTATAGTGGTTTCTAGTGCTCAACTCTACTCAACAAAATAGTGTCTCTTGGTATTTAATTCCTCTCTCTTTAGGGAGAGTTTTAATTTTTCTCCTAAGGAGTGGGGTCCAATAATGAAAAGGAATTGAAAAAATTGGTGCTGTGGATCCAGACTACTTAGGTTCACATCCTAGACCCACCAATACTCGACTGGTTGTATGAGCTTTGGCGAATTACTTAATGTCACTGTATCTCAGTTTTCTCACCTATAAAATGGAGATATTAGCACCTACTTCACACCACTGCTTTTTAATTAATTTTTTATTTGAGTGTAATTGACACACAATGTTACATTAGAGGAAACAGCCCATTTTCATAGTATAACAACAACTGCTATAGGGGAATGTACAGATTACAGATTGATTTATGAGTACCTTATGAAAAGCACTTAATCAGACAATGATGCTTCTTGGTAGAGTTGATGTCTAAGTTGAGCCCCTAGTGTAATTAGGAGTTAAATGAAGATGAAGGGAAATTTTCATACTAAAGGAATAGCATGGGCAAAGCATAGAAGATAAAATGGAACAGAACTCTACTGGGGAAACAGAGGTTATTTAGGGAAAGGTGGGTATGGGGGAGAAGTAGAGAATGGACAGAAGTGAGCTGGAATGGCAATCAAGGAGTCTGCATCTTATACCAGGGCAAAGGGGATTAAACAACGGTTTTAAGTGTTTTAAGTAGTGGCCACACTTGGGTACTTTTGAAGTTCCTCCTAAAAGAGGCAGAATATATATCCTTGCCCCCAGTGGTATTGTGCTTTGCCATGTGGCTTGCCTTGGCCAGTGGGATGGATCTTCATGGATATGACACAAGCAAAGACTTAAAACTTACTTGTGGTTGAGCCTGTCCTCTTGAAATGTTTCCATTACCATAAGAAGAACTTGCTTTGAGGAGCTCACTGGGTTCAGAACAATAAGAAAAACACAGAGCAGACCTGAACCAAATCTACCATCTGGAGCCAAGCCTAGAAAAGTCTAATTTAAAAAAAGCAAAAGCTATCTTAGCTCGTATTTGCAGATGTGAGCATAAATGATTATTGTCATAAGCCACTGAATGCTAGGGTGATTTCTTGCACAGTAGTATTATTATAATAGCTGACCAATACAGAGAGGGAAGCATAGAAAAGGACAGTCAGTTTGAAGATAATTAAAATCATCTTGCCGAAGTACTATGGTGGTTTGACTAGGATGATGACAGAGGAAGCAGAACTAAGAAGGTGTTTTTGAGAGATATAGGGGGTAGAATTTAAAGGGCTGAGTGATATTAGACTCAGGGAAAGGGAGGAGGAAAGCATGCCCAGGTTTCTTGCTGGTGTAACTGGGAGAGTTGTGAGACTGTTCTGTTAGCCACAGACCATAGGAGAAGAGCAAGATCAAAGGTTCTGTTTTGAACCTGGTGAATCTACCAATGCACAGCCAAGTGGAAATGTCCTTGACGTCCGTCTGTTTGCCTAAAAATGAGGATGACATCATGTGCCTCTACCTACCTCACCAGGCTACTATACAGAACAAACAAGATAAAACACACAAAAGTGCTTCAAAAAGAACACATTACCAATCAGCTATGATAATTATTAAAATTAAAGCACTAACACTTTCATTTTCATGCTGCCAGATGCAAAAAACACACTCTAACTTTATTTTTGAAACCGTGCTACTGAGTTTGTAGCTAGTCACACATTCTTTTTTATTTTCTGAGAGAAGGCAGAGCTGATGCTTCTGAGAAATAATACAGATGATATTTGTATTTTCAAAGACACATAAGGAACAGAATTTGGAGAAAAAAGATTCTAGGGCTACTGTTGAGAAGAGCCAGGCTCTTGCCTTGTGAGACCTCAAACTAATCATTTAAGCTTTCTGGGCCTCCCCTTCTTCATTTCTGAAATGAAGGTTTGTACTTGTTGATTTCTAAAATATCTTGCTGTTCTCGGATACATGAAACCATGGGTTCTCATAGCATTTTCAGCTTTACTTAACCTCCTACTAACTAATGATACTCTTCAAACTTGATCTGTAATTTAGAAAAGAGTTTCACACTTGCCTGTCCTCACCCACGTTAGCTCAGTCTTTATCAGCAACTTTTCTTTTGGAGCAAATTCAGGCAGTCCAGATTGCCTGTTATATCCCAGGCAGGAAAGCTTATTTTCATCTATGTGTGAGGGAGAAGGATCTAGAAGGAGTTCTGATTGGTTTGCTTCTTTCATTGCAGCAGAATTCCATTTACCACTTAGTCAAGGTGGTAATGAGGGTCTCCGTACCAGACAAATGTGGCTGCCATCTGGCAGGCCAGCACCACACACTCGGCAGACAGAACCAATTAATCAGGCCCCACACCCCGCAGGAGGTCTTGCTGTATTTGGTGGCTGGGTGTCAGCTCTGCTGAGTCTCCCACAAGAAGCCTCATTGAGTTGTGGGAGGGGAGGGGCAAATCATCTCCCTCTGGCACTACAGGGCTAGCAAAGAATCCAGATCTTGGAGGCCCCAGAACAGCTTATTCAAGGAATATTCTGCCTGCAATAATGGCGAATGCAGGATCTGTACCAGGAATGGACAGCTTGATGTGGTAGAGGGAGTGTTAAGAAACAAATTTCCATTTATAAGAGGAAAACTAGAAATGACTTCAATGCCCATCAGTAAGGGATTAGTTAAATGAGCCATGTTATATCCATACAAAGGAATAAATACAATTGGTGATTAAGGACTTAGGATTTGGGCTTTAATTATGGCTCTGCCACTTCTCAGCCTTTTGACCTGGGCAAGGCACTTGACCTTGTTTTTTAGTTCCTTCATCTATGAACTGAAGACAATACGAGTTCTTACTTCTTTGGGTGCTTGGGAGTAGTAAGTTAATACATGTAAAGAACTTAGAATGGTGCCCAGCACATAGTAAATGCTATTTAAGTGTTCGTTTTGAGTATGATTCTCATAGAGCCATTCAAGATGATGCTTAGGATGCATTTTTTGAAGCCAGGGTGAAAATTCTTAATATGAAATGAATCAAGCAGGATAACAAAGAATATATACATAATGATTCTCATTCTATATCTATGTATAGAGAAAAGAGAAAGAAATATATTATTATTTGTCTTTCATTGAGTTTTCTTTTCTTCTAACTTATACTCTCCATCTGCCAATATTGTACATGAGTATGCAATACTTTATAATTAAAAAGATGACTTTTTTAAAAATGGAGGAAAAGACTGGAGAAGAACCCCTGTATATACATCTTATCTCTCTACACTTAAGAGTGACTTCAACTTTTCTCAGCCTCAGTTTTATCATCTATACCATAGTGATAGAAAAAACACTGGTACCTACCGCAAGGGGTTAATTACAAGGAGCAAATGATAAAATTTACCTGAAAGTAATCAGGCAATATTAAAGTGTCTTATTACTATAATATTATTACCAAGGTCATCCTTGGGGAGTAACAACAAATACATTAATGCTAGAGACAAAATTATGTAAAAACTCAGAGGTCTTCAGAAGTTCAGAATGGATCATTTCACCTCTACAGATGCACTATATCCCGCTCCAACCAGGCCTTAAATTCAAGAACTACTTATAAGACAGTCAAAAGAGGGGCTCCTGGGTGGCTCAGTCAGGTAAGCATCTGCCTTCAGCTCAGGTCATGATCCCAGGACCCTGGGATGGAGCCCAGTGTCAACAGGGAGCCTGCTTCTCCCTCTCCCCCTACCTCCCTTCCCTGCTCATGCTCTCTCTTTCTCAAATAAATAAGTAAAATCTTAAAAAAAAAAAAAAAGTCAAAATAATGCATTACCTGGGGATTTCGAAAGTTCTAGTTGCAGTATAGGCTGTGCCACTGACGTTTTGGGCAAGTCACTTTTATTTCTGGACCCATGTTCAACTAGACCTTGCAGAGTATGGTCTCAGGTCCATTGCGGGGCCATTAACCACTTTAAATTATAAGCTTTGCAGAGTTCTTATGAGCAAAAGACCACAAATCCATAGGCTTTTATTTTCTCAGATGACTAAAGACTAGCTAGTATCTGAGTGATTTAGTAAGGGCTATTAAAATTATAAACTAAAAATAGTTATGTTAGAGTTTACTGCAGACTCTAATTCAGTATTCTACTAAAATATTTGGCTGTCACTTAATGCTTGGCAGCACTGCAAAACTCCTACTCTATGTATCCGTCTAATTGCAATTTCAGCAATTTTTGGAAATGGTACTTTGTTATCAATGAATCATTAATTTTGTCTTGATTTGGATCCAGTTTTCAATTGCTGCTATTCTTGCTTTTTAATTACAAATTACTAATCATATAGATTCATCATTATCAAGTTAGTTTGTTGTGGATTGTTTGGTTGATTTTTAACAGAGTACAGTGATGTATATTTCTATCAAGATTTTGGCTGATAATTTTTTGATATGTAGACATGGTTGCATTGGATTTTGAAAATAAATGATCTCTTTCTGTAATGTTAAAGCAGACAGACCTTCCCCCTGAACACAACCCAAATTTGCATGTACATTTACTTGGATCACTGTATGAGTGTCACCGACTTAGCCGCCGATAGAGTAGGTTGGCCAACTCAATTAGTGGTCAACCAGGATGCAATATACAAAATGACCTAAAAATTTAGTTTCAGATTTAAAAAAATGAACTCCAAGTCTATCTTATGCAAAATATATTAATTACCATTAGTACAAGAGCGTGTGGTGTGAATCTGTTTCCAAACTAATTCTGAATTTTCCTGGTCAATTACCAAGAAAAGTTTGGGTATTTGTCACTCACTTTGCCATCCAGAAATCTGCTCCTGAGTGCTCCTGTCAGGAATTTCTGGTTGTTCTCTGGTTTCTGATTGTTCTCTGGGTGCTTGCTTTCTTCCTTATCATCTGAGTTATGATTGATTTGATGATCGGTAGGATTAGTAGGAGCTGGAGAGTCTCTGCTCATCTGCTTTGCACCACCAGTCACGGATTTCTGGAGTACTGTTTGAGTTTCTGCCTTCAGGTTCTCATATTCCTTGCTGTGAAGAAACAGTTTTGCACTTTGTTACTCACAGGGCAGACTCTGCATACACTAGGCTGGCATAAGAAACAGAAGGTGTTAGTCTGGTGGTGTGAACAGTGGTAACTCAGCATGGTGGAATGAAGAGTAAACATTGATTATCTGTGTATGACTCATTTACCATAGAGAGACTGTATTATTATCTTCTCAGAGTTGAACTTCTCCTACCCTCTTCCTCATATTGATAAAGAGAATCTATCCAGGGGCGCCTGGGTGGCTCAGTCGTTAAGCGTCTGCCTTCGGCTCGGGTCCTGATCCCAGGGTCCTGGGATCAAAGCCCCACATCGGGCTCCCTGCTCCGCGGGAAGCCTGCTTCTCCCTCTCCCACTCCCCCTGCTTGTGTTCCCTCTCTCGCTCTCTCTCTCTCTGTCACATAAATAAATAAAATCTTTAAAAAAAAGAGAGAGAGAGAGAATCTATCCATCTGCTCTCAGACCCTTAATGTAAGTAACGGCAGCATCAAAAATGAACACTACAGGTTATCACATATCTTACTGACAAATCTAATGGGTATTTTCAGTGTTTGCAACTAGAAGAAGAACTCCAGTCAAGGGGGGTTGCTAGCTCTAGTCCTGCTCTCTGTCTCTCAGGTGCCTCATCCTGTGGCTTCTTTTTCTCCCAGTAGTCCTCCACTCAAGTTTAGTATTAAATAGAGAAAAGAGAAGGAAAAAAAGAAACTGTAGGAATGATTCAAAAAATACAAATAATAAACACAATTTTAAAAAGATTCAACCTTGTTTAATAACTAAAGACTCACAAATCGAAACAATTATATAGGACATCGCTTTAAATTTAGGAAACTTCTTTGGAAATTAGAAAGTCAAATGCTAATGGCCATAGAAATAGACATAATTAACATAGTGGGTGACCTGAAAAAACATATGAAGAGTGAGTCAGGAAGTTGCAATGGTTTAACCTACTAAATCAATATTTAAGATTGTGTATTATGGGAAAAAATACGGAAGAAAAATTTTAAACTCTAAGTATTTAGTAATAGGTGAGTATGTTGAGTATTTTACTCTATGTTCATATGATAGAATTTATAAAGCTATGAAAATAGTTGGGAATAATTTTAATGACACAAGAACATGTCCAGTTATACAAATAAGTGAAAAATGTAATTATCTCTACTATGTAAAACTTGTGTGCATAATATATGTGTTTATGTGCGAGAGTACATAGTATATCTAAAAAGAAATATGCCAGAAATGGACAGTAAGTGTCTCTGGGTAGTAGAGCTCAGAATATTACCGTAATATCTTATAACATTATTATTCTAAATTTTTTACATGACAAAATATTATTTTATAATCAGGAAAAATCAATTTCAATATAGCTATAGAAAGCACTCTATAAATTCTAGCTGTTAGTACTGATGCAATGGAAAAGATCCCTTTTATTTTATTTTATTTAAGTTTTATTTTATTTTATTATGTTATGTTAGTCACCATACAATACATCATTAGTTTTTGATGTAGTGTTCCATGATTCATTGTTTGTGTATAACACCTAGTGCTAGAAAAGATCCATTTTAAAGCATGACACATTATCTGAGCATAAAACAGTCGCCCTGATACTTGTTGATTTGAAAAAGTCAAACCACAGTCAATGATTTGAATGTGTGTATATTTTTTATGGTAATCCTCTTGGTCATGGCAGCACAGGCCAAAAAGAAGGCCTAAAAAAGAACTCTGAGGAACACCTAGATTTACAGACAGAAGAGCTCTAAAAGGAGATTTAGAAGAAATTCTCAGTAAGGTAGAAGGGACACCAGGAGCATGGCGTCTTGGAATCAAAGTGAAGAGGATGTTTCCAGAGAGAGGTCATTGTCAACAGTGTCAGGGGCTCTGGAGAAGGGTGAGGTCTGAAAAGTGTCCATTGGATTAAGCCACAAGAACGTCGACAGGCATCTTGACAAAGGAGCTTCTGTGAGCTAATGGAGGTGGATGCCAGACTGAAGCAGGTTTGGGAAAGAGGGGGCCAAGAAACCGAATACCAGAAGTATAATCTGTGAAGAAGTTTGGCTGCAAGAGCGGAGAGAGAGAGAGGATTGGTGACTGGAGTGCAATATGGGTTTCAGATAGGGCTTTATTATTATCATGTTGAAGGACTGTGGGGACTTTAACACATTAAGTACCAGTGGTGAAGAACCCACTGAGCCAGAGGGAAAGAGAGGATAGTATTGATGAAATATGATGAACCCTGACAAAGTGAGATGAGAGAGAACAGAGATAAATGAAATGGAATGAAATGAAATGAAACGTCAGGGTAGGGTTGGTAGGGAGATAGGTGAGGATATAGGCAAATTTATTTGTACATTTGGTGGCAGCTTGACTTTTCTCTTTGATATATAAGGTATGCTTACCTGTTGGCTCTCAAGGGGGAAGTGCTAGGGAAGGAAATCTGAACTAAGGGCAGATGGCTTGAGATAACTGCTATGAAGAGTGGAAAAGAGCTGATCAGAATAAGTAAAAAGGTCAGCTGGGTACAACCAAGTAGCCATGAAGGTTGGAGACCATAATTTTGTGGCTTCAGTGTGAGAGGGTGCATGCTCTTCCCTAGGATTGCCTAGGAGTCCTAGTGGAGATGCAGACAGGGATTTGGCTGGGATTTGCCAGACAGGTGCAGTAGAATGATAACAGAGCAAGATGGGAATGTGAGAACAATAGTGTATATATAACAAATAATTCTTGCAATGAGAGAAAACATAGAACATATGATCTCTGACCTCAAGAAATTTAATTTCATTTGGCTGTCCAAAAACAATACAAATAATAAGTTAACTTGCTTCTAGAAGTCAGGTCGATAGCTTCTACATAGTGGTTACCTTTTTAGGGAGGTGTAGAGCCCAGAAGGGAATGCTAGGGCCTTCCATGGTATCTGCAGTATTCTGGTTTTTTTTGTTTTTGTTTTTTTATCTTGGTGTTTGTCGCAAGGGTGTATCACATTTGTGAAAATTCAGTGAGACTATATATATGATGTGCGCTTTTATGTGTCTATATATGATAAATACATAGATATATTCCTATAACATGCTCAAAGAAATTGGTATAAAATTTGCATAAATATGAAACATACCTAATTAGTGTACAAATCAATGTCAAGTGAATATTACAAAGAATCAGTGCTATTTGAAGTTCATAAGAAAGAGAAATAACTATGATTTGCAATGGTTGCAAAAATATTACTGAGCATTTAACTACACGACAGTCACATTATAGCCACTCACATACACTAGTTAGTTAATCTTCAGATCAACCCTATAGGTAAGTGCTTGTATTATTTTCATTTTAGGATGAAGGAATTAAGACTCAGAGAGTTTATGTGATTTGTCCAGTTGTACATGGCTTTTCAGTAGTGGAACCAGAATTTAAACCTAAGCTGGCCTGACTGCACTGAGCTGCCTACTTACTGCCAATAGAGTCAGGAGAGAATCCATGGAGGTTTATATTATATGAGGAGCAGAAAATAGAAGAGGAGGGAGTGCAGATTTAAAGGCAAAAATGGGTTTGGGGCAGAAAGTTAACTCCTCTGGCTGAAACAATCAGCTTTGCTTTAATCACCTTCAAAATCCTTTTGTGGGCAGTCTCAGGACAGAATTGCCTGAGAAACGTGAAATGTATCTGCCTGCCTGTTAAAACAGTCACAGTAGATGTAAAAAACCAAAAATAACCTGTTAAATCTGTTCAAAGTAAAAGCTGTTTTTTTTTAAAACATACATAGCACTTTAAAAGTATCATGAAATGACTCCCCAGCTGAGAAATGGCATGTGCCTGTTAGCACAAACAATTTGTCAACACACATTGGTTGTTACGCTGTTCACAAACTCACAGTTCTTTCTTCTAGACTTGTGCACTATCTACCTGAAGTACTGAAAACAGAAGTTTGCCATTTCAAAAGAAAGAAAAAAAATGCCATAACACTCTCTTGGAAGCAAGGCATAACTAGCTTCTTCATATGTACTTCTGACCTCAGCTGCTGCTCTTAGGGATGCTGTGAAGAGTTTAGTGTCATCCTGGAACTACAGCAATTAGAGAGGATTACTGTATTGCTGGATGATAAATAAATGAGGCGAAAACTGTTCAGTTGTCTCCCGTCACAGTGGGCTCTTCCTGCAAACCAACCCTACAGTGCCACCCTCTACTAGAGCTCAGAGTCTCAGGGTTAGAAACAAACATTGCAAGGGCATCTGGTAGCATCCTCTGCCCAAAGCAGTGCAGAGACCTCCCATCGGCCCACCTCCCATGTAACTCCAACTCACCAGATCTCACATTTGATTTGGATTACACCCCTGCTGAGAACATCAAATCTCAAATGGAGGACCCAGGGGGCTCAGCAAAAAGGTCACCAGATGCCATCTTAAAGGTCTGCCAGCCTTGGCAGCGACTCAGTGCCACCAATTTCCAACTGTGCGCCATCTAACAGGCCTCCAACCCTCTGGAAAAGACAGTCCTGAGTGTGCCAACCAGTGAATGGGGATCTAATTTCAGTAAATGAAAGCATGTTCTTATTTGGAAGTAATAGCAGATAATCAACACAACCAGACTTTCCTTTTTTAAGAAGACAACAACAAAATAAAAATATAAAATGGGATTGGGGAGGGGAGTGCAGCTGAAAATCTCACCAAACTCCATGGGGAAGCTGAAATGTGAAGTCTGTGCTAATGTAGCAAATGTTATTGTGATGAAGTGTGAGGGTTTTTTTTTTTTTTCTTCCTTTTTTTTTTTTTTTAATGCCAGGGAACCATACCATGTATTATCATAGAAATTTAGTCTTCAGAAAGATTTTTAAAGTACTTTAAGTTCCAAACCTATGCCCAAATCATCTCTTCATCAATGGAATTATATGAGCTAACATTCTAAATGCTCATATGTGTCAGATACCACATATAAATTTACATAAATTCTTTCATGTTATCCTAATAATCCTGAAAAGTGGATATTATTTTTTTAAAGATTT